TCGCTTTGTTCCGGCATTCGCAAATCACCTTTGCCATAAGGTGCTGGCTGAAAATCAGCGCTGCTGTGGTATCGCGGAAGCGATTACTACAGAGCATACATAGCATATAGAGCCAGCGACTTGTTGGCCTCGCACAGCACGCACTACTACCAAGTATTATGTTCCTCGCCTCCGATTCCTCCCACACAGGCCACAAACACCAACACTACACAGCTAGCAAACGTGCACACTAGCTTAGCATTAGGCAGACACCGCACCCGTAGGATAAGAGTGCGAAGACCCGGTCTACACACGACACGCTATACCAGTGGGCCAATCGCCTAACTGGATTGCTTTGGAAAACGCTATCGCTTACGATTTCATTTTGTTATTTCTAACCGCCGAAATACCTCACGCTCATTTTCTTTAACATTGTTATTACCAATGCAAAAGAAAAAAAAAGAGCGCGAGGCATTTGAAAACCTCAGGGGGCTAGAAATAACAAAAACAAATCGTAAGCGATAGCGTTTTCCAAAGCAATCCAGTTAGGCGATTGGCCCCCAGGTACAGGTACGTACCTGGGCGTTTTTCCCCGTCCCCCACGACAACGGCTAACTAGAGCCGAAGTCCGAGTCTCAGAGACGCCCTCTAGTTGAGCCGACCGACCGACAGGTTCCAGTGGTCTGGAGGTTCCAGACGGAGGGAGACTCCCCCGTGGGGAGACGCCATCTGCCTGGAATACCTCCAGAGGCACTCGCCAATTCACGGCTTCAGAACCATTTAGAATCTCGCCGTCCCCAAACCCGGTGACGCTGTAAAGGTCATCTGCGACCAACAGCATACACACTCAAAAAAAAATTTAGTTCCTATATTTTATTATTGTCTACGTTTTCTTTTATATATCGTTTTGTTTCTCTAATTTCATGCTGGGAGGGCCGATAAAATGTTTTTCTTTCTTTCTTTCTACATAAAAGTATATCAAATCTGATGTAGCTACCAAAGCAACATAACTTCAAAGGAATGAATGAATGAAATTTATTTCCTAATAAGAATAAGATATTTTCAGCAGTTTTTGGTTATCACAAGATATTCTTACTCTTTGAAGTAATGTTGCCCTACTTACATCAGTTTTGATTAATTTTAGTTATTTCATTTAGATTCTAGTAAATATTTGAACAAATATAGCCACTGATATCTTTTTTTCCTACTTGTTCTATTAGTAGATCAAACTGTAGAACAACTGATATTAACCCGCACTCTGCCTGCGTATTTGGTAGAATACAATATTTATTTATTGCGCTATCGTACACTAACATGACAATTTATATTACATTAAAAAAGTTTATCTCTCAGAAAAATCAACTTACATGAATCACGTTTAAGCGCACTTAGCGACATCTTTTGTAAAGAAATCAACTTGCATGAATCACATTTAAGCGCATCTAGCGACATCTATTGTAAAAAATGCATTTTCTTCGCAATAAAGCTTGGACGTCTTAGATAGAGACTTATTATTATAATACGGTAAAATAAAATATTACTACCAATATATTGAAAGTGAACCTTTCCAATTTTATTTTGTCGTGATGCGATCAACCCACGTGTTTAACCTGACGCGAGTTTAACATTTTTTACCCATACAAAAATAGTGCACAACACCGCTAAAGAAGTCTTCACTTCAAAAAAAGATACAAATTTATAATCATTACATAATACCAAAAAAAAATCTTGAACTAGCAGCGATAGCCTAAATGGCTTTATACACGTTGATCATCACTTATTCAGGGCCGCAGATTTACAACAGCATAGATTGTTTTACTGTCCCATAAAAGAAGGAAACATATTGCCCGACCAAACCACAGCTTGTAAGTAGCCCTTACTAGTTTCCGATTTACTAGTTTTACGACAATGTGATGTCCAACAAAAAGTTTAATAGCATGACCGAGAGGAAAACCAATCTGGGTTCTGCACAATGAATAATTGAGCTCTTCATTTTTACTGTAGGCAGATTATTATGCTGCTTTCAATATAAAGACTCCTATAAAATTTTTGGCTTTGGTTACGTGTCGTACTCCCTGGCAAGACCCATTCACGAACAAAAAATATGACCTAGATTTTTTTTTTATAAAATTTGTATAAAATTGTAGTAAAGTTAAAAAAACGACGGGTTGCACTCCAAGGGTGCCGGCATAAGTGAAAACTTGAATATTTACGTTGTGCATTTTTGATATTTTGGAATGGTTAGGGAATAATTTTGCACGAATTGCTTTAATTATCAGTATAAAACTACTATCATGTATGTGGTAGAATACAATATTTATTTATTGCGCTATCGTACACAAACATGTCAATTTATATTACATTAAAAAAAATCTCTCAGAAAAACCAACTTACATGAATCACGTTTAAGCGCACTTAGCGATATCTATTGTAAAGAAATCAACTTACATGAATCATATTTAAGCGCACCCAGAGACATCTATTGTAAAAATAAAGCATTTTCTTCGCAATAAAGCTGCCACGTGGACGTCCTACATAGAGACATTATTATAATACGATAAAATAAAATATCACTATGTTTCGTCCAATATATTGAAAATCAAAAACCTTTCCAATTTTATTGTGTGTCATGATGCGACCAGCCCACGTGTTTAACCTGACGCGAGTTTAATATTTTTTACTCATACAAAAAAAGTGCGCAAGCCTATAGTTTTCACTTCAAAAAATGTACATTAGTAGTTTGATTGCTATTAACGATTTTATGGGGTCCTGCTAGAAAGCATACACCCCAGGAAGACCCATGCTAATTTAGTACTTTTTATTATTACTAATGATGTCAAAAAAATGTACGAATTTGAATATCACAGTAATAACACTAGTTTATTACTTTTCATTAAGGGAATTATAATTTGTTTAATTTAATATTTTCATACTTAAGGGTAACTACTCGAAGTATTTTTTTTTACATGTGTTAAAGTTGTTACGAGCTATATCATAAAGTAGGTACTTTGTACATATTCTTTGTTTAGAAATGGGTCTTGCAGGAAGTATCACGCTTGTTGGTTTCGTTGCTACCTCTCGAGTTCCTTGTAATACTCGTACCTAATGTAAAACGTATTAGACATTTTTCATAACACTAATATTAAAGAAAATATAACTAGAAAAAATTCCACGCCGAGCAGGCAGCAGACGGGACTTGAACCCGCACCCTTCGCAATCCGGGCGAATGCACTAACTCATTATGCTACCGCGGCCCTGACGGCCGCGTCGAAATTCTTCTAGCCATTCTTAAGCTGCAAGGAAGCGCCATTTCTTCGCATTGTAGGTAACCCACAATGTCAAATGAATAGTTTTAAAAGTATTAAACATTAAACATATTTCTTCTTTCAAATTCTTCTTCAAAATTATAACACTAATATTGTTAATCAAGTCGCTTCGTATGCTAATTTAAACAAAAAGGTTCACTTGTTTCATTAACTGTATATTCTTATTAATAAAATGGAAAGTGACTTCATGAATTGTCTCTGAAGTAATATTTCGACTTGATATAATAAAACAGGAAGAAAAAACTGCCCTTGCCGAGTTTCGTGCCGGTTCTTCTCAGTATATGGTTTCCAGCCGTGCATTTGCAAACCGATGGCATAGCGATGGCCTTCTCCTCTACAAATGCTTGTAACAGACTGAATAAATGTTTATACTGTTTTTAATAAATGCTATTGAATTTGTATCTAAAGTACAGAACCCATAAATTCAAAATAAAAACGAGCGAGCCTTACTGTAGTCGCGTATGATGTGTAACATTTGAAACCTCACCTTATATTAGTGAAAAAAGAAATAAAACCTACTACAAAAGGAATAAGCCATTTGAACATTATGTTCCAAAATCAAATCAAATAGCGCGCGCTTTCGCGACTTCCTGTTAAACACTTCCATCCCATTTCACGAAATCACTCCCACAAATTGCAGGAAAGCGAGAGGAAAGATGTTACACATCAATAAATGTTTTATTGCTTCCATGCAAAAGATTACTCTTATTCATTACTATTATAAACTACTATGTTCACGCAAGTTAAAAGTCTTCGTGTGTAGATCCAGTTACTTGTTTACGAGTTGCCAGCGTAAAATATTAACGTTTAAGCATCAAAATTATCCACAACTTTCGGTATTTAAAACGTAAAGTTTTCCTGTAAAAATAACGAAAGAATATACTCAGTAAGGAACCTTGTTGCATAGTACATTATAACGTTGGCTATTAACTAATAAGAAAAAGCTTTTCGACTGCATTAATTACCTCGTAAAAAGTTTCAAAATGAAAGCTTAATACCGGAATAATACTCGTAGTTACTTTTTTCCAACTTTATTTAACTTACTTGAACTTATAAACAATCAAAATTAATTATCAACAAACAACACAATAGAAACTGTCCATTTAACTTCCAGCTATACTTGTTTGCACTTTGTGTTACATTCAATCATCTTTGACATGTTAATCTCTGTAAACGAACAACTAAGCTAATATTTAATTTGTCTTTTTATATAAGTTCTCCTATATTGTAGAATTGTTTTGGTTAAGTTGTATTGTAATTAGCTCATTCTGGTTGGCCGAGGGCTTGGTGATCTGTAATACAGGTATTTCTATTCCCATATCAGACACAAGCTTCTCACAGCCTACAGATTTATCATTTCTGTATTCACCTATTACAATAGCATCATGTTGTGAGGAGAAATAAATAAATATATTAAAATAAAATAAGTAAGTACCCTTGTGGGTACGGGTTTCGGGTACGTTAGACTTAAAAGCCCGAATTAGGTGTTAAAAAAAAACACATAAAAAAAGTTTACGCAACATGCATCAGTCAAACTACAAGTTTTATCAATTGGTATTTTATATATTCGTGAAGAAATGTATAATTTATTCAAAAGTTATTTACTTTAGTTTATAATAAAACAAATTGGTTATTAGTATCAAAAGTGTATAAATATTAAAATCAATCAAAAGTTAAAAAAAAGTTTATGTTGCTAAGACTCCTTGAATGAGCAGGTATATTTCAATTGTTTTCACTATTATCAATTTAACTCCGGACTTTTTCGATGCACCTAATATTATAATTATATTCAATACTTTTCTTATTTTTTTCTACGAATATCACATTTTATTCTATGTCAGCTTTCGTACGCCTTAAAACCTAACACTATAGACGTTGTCCATGACCCCGCAAGTATTATTTTTGATGGCAATCCTGATGTAACCCTTTTCTCCCCATTTTGTTCCGTAAGAGTTTTTTAAAGTCCAGAACTTCTCTTCACCATTTTCTTCTTCCCCATATCCGATCAATAACAAGCCGTGATTCCCTGATATGCTCTTCTCTCTGAAAACAGCATTGGATTCTTTAGAAATACCCTATCTTCTTTCTGACTCAGCGGAGATGGTTAGAGGTCAAAGGTGGATAAATAGTGAGTTAAATTATAGCAATACATTGGTGCCAATTCTAGCGTGATTCTCTAAACTTAAAACTAAATTTAACACCAGTCTCTCCTTTTCATTCTGTATAGAGAATGACAAGGATATACTGCTGTCAAATTTAAGTTTAGGTTTAGAGAATCATACTAGAATCGACACCATTGTTTTATATATTGGTTACAGAGTACAGAAACCTGATTTGGCAGCATGTAAAAATGGTTTAGTAGTTTATCATTATCATCATCAGCCTATTAATGTGTCCACTGCTGGAGCAGCAGTTTTCATACATCTTATATAGACTCGCCACACACGGTACACGCTACAAATCGTCGTTGCTCGATGCTTGTGGCCCGCGCCGGCCTTTTTGTGGTACCAATTTCCAATGCCATTACCTTCGTAAGACCGCACGAAGATACTGCCTTTAATCGATAATCCGATTTCTTGCGAATCCCTCATAATTTCAGGAAAGCACGCTTTAAGTGATTCTACTTACTTAACTATTAAGGCGCTTACCTTTTACAATTCCCGTCATTGAACACACCACTTGAATAGAACATAAAAGATTTCGGATTGGAATAAATAGCGATTGCCAGTGGTCCACGTCTCCTTAAATACCTCTGAAATAAACGTATGGTTTCAAGTTAAGAAAACGTATTATATAGGTATAGGTATTAAATATAGGTATTAAACCTATTATATAATATAAATTGTATATTAAGTCACTTTATATATGTGTTCTTCTAAGGAATTTTTATTAGGTAAGAAATTATAGAAATTATCTAATACCTGAGTTGGACGCCTATTAAGCTTAAACTAACTTAGCGATCTTAACTTACATAATTTTCCTCGAAAGTTCATAAAAAGCCATTTTTTCTGATTTTTAGAGCCAATAGTTTAGTTTTTAGTAGTTAAAGATTTTAGAGGGGCGGGGGGACCTACTCGAACAAAAATTTGCACTTTAAGGTTTAAAATTTCACAAACGAATCCCTTGATAGAAAAATAATCTTAGCAACCCCCAAGTCGTTTCAAAGGATCTATTGAACGATACCACACACGATAGGGTAGAAGATGAATAAAATTTCACCCCCACTACATGTAAGGGAGTAAATTACCCAAAAAAATTTTTTTTCCAAATTCATATGGGACCAACTTCGGGTACCCTTTCCAACAAAAAAATCATAGTCAAATTTCTCTGTAAAAACGTTGTGAATGATCATACATAAATAAAATATACGCGTCGACTTCATAACCTCGGTTCGGTTTCGGTTGAAAAACAAAGGGCATACACACACATTTAAAAATCTACCTTTATCGTTCTTTCATCTTTAATGACTTTATGATATCCTCTTATATGAGTATGTCTTGTAACATTAGGCGCATGGCACCTCCCTTCCTGAAAATATTAAGTATGAACAATCAAATTCAAATGTAGTTTTTTTATTGATGGGTAAGCTCATTATCTCCTAGCAAGCCCGTCAGCAGAGATGAGGATCTACGGTTTGGCAAGCTACCCGGAAGAAATCTATTCACTCTGGCTTTAAAACAGTTTTTATTTAAATTTTTACATAATATCAAAATATATTAATAATTCTTTAATTCAATAGCGAAATTATATATTTTAAAAATGCTTCTTCGAATACTGTTTAAATATTTCCAAGATAACATTACTCGAACAACTGGTTTGGAGAAAAAGACGCACTAGTAAATGTTAAATTTAATTTACTTACCAAAGCTAAATATCTACCATAATCGTCTCTGTAAGGTATCCCTCTATTTTTTATCCATTCCAGGGATGCCCTTATACTGCCACCGCTGCACCCGTAATTACCTTCTCTGTTAACTCTGACAAACAAAAATCATGAATAGACAAAACATGCCAATACAACATTTGGACCCCACAAAGCAATGGGTAAACTAACACGACTCACACAAGATAATTAAGTTTTGAGATTGTATTTTTTTGAGTGTGTATGCTGTTGGTCGCAGATGACCTTTACAGCGTCACCGGGTTTGGGGACGGCGAGATCCTAAGGGGCTGAAGCCGAAAATTGGCGAGTGCCATTAGAGGTATTCCAGCTGGATGGCATCTCCCCACGGGGGAGTCTAATCCGTCTGGAACCTCTAGACCACTCGAATCTGAGAGGATGAGTTTAGTTGAAGTTGGTACAGACACTTTATTTGCGACTAACGTCCAACCACGACTTCGTCCGCGTTAGAGTCTTAATTTTTCAGATATAATACAATATATCCTACGACAGTCACAAATAACGTGGCTTCTATTGGTAAAAGAATTTTCGTATTTGTTTCAATAGATCCAGAGATTGTCCCCTACAACCTCAAAAACTATTTATATAATATTAATGCAATATAAAGAGCGTCCCACGGCCATGTCACATGGAGGGTAAGTATATTATATATTGAAGATAGGATAGATTTTAGAAAGCTTCGATAATTGCTACGCTCCATGTTGTTACACCACAAATATACAAAGTAATATGGCATAAGTAGTACTGGTTTGTATATTTCGGGTAAACCTATAAAATGTATATTATTCATAAGAAAGTATTTTAATTATCCTAAAAATTAATGATCACCTAAAAATACAATTGATAACCTAAAGGTTAGGTCAAGCTACCAATTGAGGATCAATTACTATTTCTTTGATGATCATTTAAAGATATGTCTTGTAATACCTCCAACTGCAATCGATGATGGCTTGCTCGCTAACTTCCAGCATCTGCTCGAAACCATTTTGTATGAACTTGGATGATTCCACCGCAGCAGCTGTTGCGAATGCATAGCATGACCTACACATCGCTGTCTGCACTAGAAACGATATCATTATTATCATAAAAATAATTAATATCAACATTTTGTTAATAAACTACGACAAACTCAAATAACTTAAGGCGCGTGACTCGAGTTGATGGAACCCACACTCGCACTAGTCCCAAGCAGTCCAGGAAAACTCGTCGTTTTCGTGAGCGGTATCTTTGTGTGCTCGCTCGAGTGCACTTTGTATGTAGAGAGATTACCTTCTGTACGCGCTCAAACTTGGTTGACAGGTCATACATAGTATTTCATACATAATTAAAGCAGAACTTAATCAGTTCTTATTGAGAACTATATCGGAATTTTGGTCTATCGTAGTAAGCCATAGGTCCATTGATTACCTTTAACAGAAGTAACAGCGCCATAATCTCTCCAATCGAAATTCTTGAAAAAACCTGTCACATGTGCTTGATCTTCCTCAATCGAGTCATCGTCTTCGTTCAATTCTTCGTATTCATCGAAATGATCTTTTGTACCGAAGTAAACTGCCATTTCATCATCATTAGCATCAGCAAGATGATTAATGGCCAAAGTAAAAGAACTATGCATTCGGTTTTGCGAATTTATGTACCTAGAATTAAATTTTAAATGTAAAGACTTTGCCTGCGTATTCCAATTCCTTTTGCTTTCCGTTACGAATTACTTATTACTTGCCTCAAATTTCGTCGAAAATTATTTAGTCTTACAAAATTTTCTTTTTGTTCTAAATAAGTTTTATTGTGATTTAGTTTAAATCTGAAAAATGAAATTCTCTTAGCCGTTTGTTAAAAAGTTAGTAATAGATAGTCTTATTGACTTACCTTTCGAAATCGTCTTTAATTTTGGCGTGTCGATACATTGGATCAATGTACTCTAACAAAGGGTCGTAAGGTTCATAATTATTGTTCAATTTAATTTCCGAACATGGCAATACTATAATAAAATTAAAATGTAATTGTTAAAATTATATAGCTATTTTTATATATATAAACAGCTATACTAAAACTGCAAACTAAACCAAAAGATCCTTGGGGGAGTTGGGATGGCATGACTAAGGCCATGCTCTCACGCAAAATAGGCACCTGGTGTCGAGTTGCGGAAAACACCCACCGTTCAGAAGAAGAAGAAGAAGAAGAAGAATTATCAAAATCCGACTAATCTGTATTAAGTTGTACGTGATCAGGAAGTGAAAGCTATACATAACAAATATATAAACGCGCCGAATAGAAAACCTCCGTTTTTTTAGTCGGTTGAAAAGACATGTCTCGTACACCCATATCATAGATCCACCTGTGGGCTGCCTTATTGATTTTGTTTGTGCACCTCGCATTATATCTCTCTTTGATGAATTAAGATACGGCATTTAAGTAGCTTATATAATTTCTAAGAAGATTCTGTGTTCTTAATATCTTAAAATATACCTATTGAAAAACATTACTGCATTCCCTCGCGACACCAAGAAAGAGGCTTGTCGCTTCTAAAGCGATACAGCAAATTATGTAAAAATATACCTCGGTGTGAACAAAATTGAGTTCTCGTGTTTCATTTTGAACAAAGATCTTCCCGTGTTTTATAATACTAATCGAACCGTATTAGTATTATAAAACACGGGAAGATCAATCAGTAATTTTGGTAAACCGTAAAGTGTGTTTTTTGTTAGCTTAAAAATTTCTACGAAGACAGTAATACCTGTTGGAAGATAGATTTTAAAGAATAGTTCTTTCGGAATCTATTGAACAGTATTATTAACTAAGAAAATTTAACATATAGGGCTACACCACAGACATAGATTGAAAATCTAACGTTTTTGAAGTTTCACTTCAAAAACTCCTCATCATCATCAGCCTATTAATGTCTCCACTGCTAGGGCACAGGCCTTCCCTATGGATGGAATAGGGAGATTGGGTCATGACCCACCACGTGGGCCCAGTGCGGATTGGCGGGTGCCAACGACTGCAGATGCAGCCGGGACCAACGTCTTAACGTGTCTTCCGAAGCACGGAGGAACTCGAGATAGAAGATTTTTGGTCACCCATATCCAATGACCGACCACTGCGAAAGTTGCTTAACTTCAATGATCGCAGCCGAACGCGCTAACCACCTACGCCATCGAGCTCCTCCAAAAACTCCTATTTGACAATAAATGCAGTTTTGTCTAGTCTGTAATGCTAAATGACTGTGATGTTCAATTGCATGTTTGTAACTTACCATTAACATCCGGCAGCTCAAATATTATTTTATCTGGTTCAATCGCACTATACGAAATATAATCGTGTCTAAAATTGTCTATTAGTACTTTACCAGCACTCACTCTATATTCGTATCTGAATATCAAAAATAAATGAATTAATAACTATAAATTTATTACAATAATAAAGCTAAGAGGCTCACCAAAGTGACTGGTGATCAAAAGGCTGGCAGCTATCTTGGTCAACGGATCAGCCTTGCCATTTTTTTTGGTGTGTATGCTGTTGATCGCAGATTAACTTTACAGGATCCCCGGGTTTGGGGACGGCGAGATCCTAAGGGGTTCTCAAGCCGAGAATTGGCGAGTGCCTCTAGAGGTATTCCAGGCGGATGGCATCTCTCCGAGGGGGGAGTCTCCTCCCCGTCTGGAGCCTCTAGACCACTCGAACCTGAGGGGTTCGGCTCAACTAGAGGGCGTCTTTGAGGCTCGGACCTCGGCTCTAGTTAGCCGTTGTAATGGGGATCCAAAGCGGTAATGCTGCCAGCCTATTGGGCACCATTCCTGATGGCGGCACTGGGGGAGACATATTTTTTATTTTGTAAATTCTTTTTTTTACGTAGGTAAGTAGGTTAAGCTATATAGTTATTAAGTTTGTCTTATTTAATTGTATCTCTATTTTATAACTGAGTATGATTTTATTAAATGACAACAACAAATATGATTATTTCGTCTTTTTTAAACAAACTTGTAAGCCCGTGAATTCGTCGCGTGGAATAAATGGTTTCCCTTGAAAACTTTTATCTATATCCAAGCTTTAAAACCTCTATTAAATATTCAGACAGTTAGCATATTGCCTAGACTTAAACATCCAATGACGATAAAAAAAACATTATTACACCCAAACGGGTGTGTTGTGTTATAAAGTTGTACTAAATTTTATAATAACACTCCATCGCTTTTTAAATCCCTTCGGCGCCAAGGGCTTATTTACCAGACAGCCAAAATTTTCACCGCTCGATGCGTGGTATTATGAATTTCAAAAAAAGGAACATTGTCATTCACGCGCGTTTCATTACCACAGCACCGAAGCTTTTGATGAATTTTAAGTTCATAGAATGCCCCATGGTTTCAGATACTTTTATAGAGGATTGATATCATTGGTATAGATATAGTCTTGTATGGAAATGTTCATAATTAGGTTTTAAAACAGTCATGTGATACTATTTTCATACTCCAGTGTGATAAACCCACATTTGGCCTCACGCCTGTGTGACACCCTTTTGACATTAAAAAGGTTACCAGACCTACACAAGTCTTTATGTGTTCGACAAACCTTCTCGGTACCGTGTTGTTTAACTTGTCGTAGTCGACCCAAATAGTATATGTGAATGTCACTGAGACACCATCCTCTAAGCGGACCCTTGACGTCTGCCATTTCTCAGATTCCAAACCATTTATTTGCTCAATGCCTGTAATAAACAAAAAAAAAGTTTTATTGAGTATGGCTAAACAATAGCATGAAATTAAAATATGTCTTGAGATTAAATTATTTTGAGGTTTTCAGTAAAAAAAACAGTTGTATTATTGCAATAACTAGTAACTTTATATTACAGAATTTGTTTAAAAATATAACAAGGTCTACCAAAAAACATCAAAAAAATCTCGTTTCTTTTGATTTGATTTTATTTAACAGCTGTAATAAAAAATACAGAGGGAAGCATTTATTCTGTCTATCACTTTTCATGAGATGCCCTCTGATAACGAATAAATGGCTTTAAAACCTTTAAGGACGGAATCCTAATAACTTATTTTCCTCCGAGGATGTCTCACTAATTTATTTTCTGATGCCGTAAAATTATTCAACGAAAAAGATAATAAAATTTTCCTGCACATTTTGTTAGATAAATAGAAAGGAAAATTACATGAAAACAACATACAGACACGAATAAAAAAATTTGGGATGCTGAAAAATTCCTATAAACTTCGCCTGATTCTTTTTCTTTAATAATAATAAAAATATCATTTATTGTCAGACAACACAGGTCCATAAGTTAGTATACATTATAACTTATAACTAAGGGTTAGTAGCCTATAAGTAAGTATTCACAAAAGTTTTGCATTTTTAATACCTTAGAGGGACTCAGCGCGAGCGACACCAGGAAGAATAATTAACTTCTATTTCAGTCATCATTCGCACGGAATGCCTCCAAAATGTTTTCGTTCTTTATTTAATAAAATAGGCAACCGGTACAGACTGACTGATCCATCACGCACAGCTCCAACCCTTAAATAGATTGCACTGGCATTTGCCATTACATAGCTATTATGATGTAGGCGTGCGCTAAGAAAGGATTTTCTAAAACTCACCCCCTAAATGGGTAAAACGGGGATTTAAACTTTCTATGGAGCACCAAGATCGCAAGGTTAATCCTTTAACTAAATAAGCAAATGAGTTTGACATTCGTTCATTCGAAATCAAATCTAACGCGAGTGAAGCCGCGGGAAAAAGCTAGTTTATAATAACATCCGTACAATCGTTAAAGTTTTTACTATTATACTTCAATTCATTTCCACTTACAAGTTAAATTGCCTTAACCTGTATTATTTTCGGATTTGTTACCAAGTAAGTTCGAGTCTCTGATATTTCGGTAATGATACAATTCATCAGAGATTGATTAGGAAACAATGTCCACCACTGTAACAATATATTCGTTTCGTCTATCTAGGTCGAATATAGTTAGTTAGTCTAGTTCCATTGATACAATAGAACGAATAAATATGTGTTTAGTACTATTGTCCTTTTTGTACTTAAACCAAATGTATGATGAAACACCTATTTAATGTCTCGACCTATATAAATTCTATTCTGAATACAAAATTTTAATCCATATCAACATATCAAATCCATACTAATATTATAAATAAGAAAATTATGTTTGTCTGCTGCCCTGTTAGTTGTACTTGCAGTAATCGTCATTTTTGTGATTTTCTCTTTTTTACAAACATGTCATACCAAAGGACATAATGGATATGTAAAAAATATATATTTTTTTAAGTTTTTTCTTAATAACAACATGTATTTTATTCAAAATGAAACGCATTTGCAACGTTTACTGTACCATTCATTTAGCATATAACTTTTTGCAACGAATACGAACTAAAGCCAAACGCAGTACTTACCATTACTGCATTTGCATGAATGGAGCAAAAATAACAAAGAGCTACTCTCGCGACGCTGAGTGTCGCCGCACACGGGCCACCGACCACAACCACAAAACGCCGCCACCGGCATATTTCTAGTAGTTTTCATACATTTTATGTGGACTCACACGAAACGCCGGTGTCCGCCACACGCTACAAATCGTCGTTGCTCGCTTCTTGTGGCCCGCACCGGCCACTTAATGCGCCGATACAAAACGCCGCCACACATCACTCGCGCGATTCCCCACCCCTCTCGCCCTTACCTTAGTCGGCCGCTGTCGCGCGCTTCGGCCACTTTAGTTTTAGTAGCGGCTTCTAGCTACTCGTGGCGGCGTTTGTGGCTGTGGCGTGTGGCCCGTGTGCGGCGACACTAACACTTAATGCAGTATTCACCATTACTGCATTTGCGTTTAGCGAAGATAACAGATTGCGATTAGCAATCTACTATATACCTACTATACTGAAACTAAAAACTGACTATACTATAGTTAAACTACAAACGCAGCATTGAGCACGTGCTAGGTGATTTTGCAGTAATAAACCAAGTACTGCATTGAGTCTTAGTGATACTGTAATACCCGCAAACCCATAAAGTTGATAGAATTGCAGTACTGAGCATTATATCGAAATAAGGCAGTAAAGTAAACTAAAAAATATGTCAACATACGATTTTTTTACAATTTTTAGGTTACTCTTAAAAAGTTATATAACAGAGATTTATTGAGTAAGAAAGGAGATTGCTCAGCTTCCATACATGTTTGGCCTAAAAACCAATAACCATGAAAAATTGTTTCCTACATTCGAAATTATATATAAATTACCGTAGAAACGAATATTATCGACGGCCACTCCTGAGAACTTCTATAAACCATATACACTGAATGATTTTGAGGTTATGTTTGCAAATAGGCACATAGGTATTAGAATAATAAAAACCAAATAACTTATATAGGAAAATAGGGCAATCAAGCCAAGTACTGATATTATGTATTAGATTCAGGTATATAGAGCATGTAAAATAACAGATATGTGCATGTTTTTAAAATTAATGCACAAGAGTAAGTTTTAAAGTCATGATTATGCCATTGCGACTTTCAGAAGCAATCTTGTTTCATTTGACAAGTGTCTAACACTAATTACACTAACAAAATGCATGTCAAGGAACTGGTACCTGCTTACCTATGTTATGAGAAACATGGAACTGTTATCATAATTTTATAAAAACCAATAGGATATTTTCTTAGTAATAATTAGGTTTATAATGGTAAAAGGTAATTCTAATGTAATAATATATTGCGTAGGTTCATGATAGTTCTGATCAATGTGTGAAATATGTATATTCCTGACATATCTTAAATATTCTGATAAGGTAAATTAATGAAATAAAACAACTTAAGTACTTTTATGTTGCGTTTAATATTACAAATCATCTACATTTTGAATTAAAATATCATCGAGAAACTGTGCAGGGGGATTTATATTTTCTTGGTATCTGGCCCGGCTCAAATACCAAATTATTGTCATCACATGAGCGCAGCAACCTACAGTTCTGCGCCCAACAACACAATTACAACAATAACGGCATAGACGGCAATAGACTTTATGATGTCGCCTACCATCTATATTAATTGTCTTAGCACATTTGCATGTAGTAAAAATGATAATAAAGTTGTGGATATTAATACCACAGTGTAATAAAAAAATATATTTTATCAATCTTTACAAAATAGATTTGTTTTGATGTTATATAAACAACCTCGATCAGTCTTTGTGAATGTTACTACACCCATAGCCAATAAAAATGATTCGTATGTTTTCCAAACCGGTAAAAATAGAAGTCCTTTTTTAAAATTAATATATTATTTAAAGGTGGCCGTTAAAATCTAATGACTGTAAAATAAAGTATAAATTACGCCAAGAATTACTGTATATGTCAATATTTTATTTGCATTTAGGCCAATTTGACCAATCTCCTTTGTTTATCGCATGTATCTCCAAACCAGGGCTTGAAACCGGTTCCATAAATACCGGCAAATAAAGGTTAATACCGGTTTTTAGTAAAGGTTTCGTTCAGAGTGCGTCCGAAATGAAAGCGGTTCCTTAAACCTTAATAAACCGGTTTAATCCAGAGCGACACGTGCACGCGTCGGCATCGCTTGATGTTTGTTTTGTTCGAAGTAATCAAGTCACAACTTTTTAATGCTCAGAGATTGATGCATTAATTGACACGTTTGCTAGCGTCTAGTGAGTCAAGTTATTAATTCTGTAGTTGTGTATTTATTTCAGCTGTCAGTAAGAGCGAAATGAAACCCGCTAAATTGATTTAAAATCTATTTGATTTCGTTTTTTATAAAACCGGTTTTTTAAGGTTAAGGTAGAGCCAAACGTAAATAAAACGCTCCTAATATACTTGACACTGATTTAGGTTTGAAAATTAACCGGTAAACAAGCCCTGCTCCAAAATGCTGTTCTGCGAGTAATGCGTTTGCAATAGGGGCAGTGTACCTCTTCACGCTTAAACCGCTGGACTGATTTAGATAGATAGATAGATAGTTTTATCCCAAAAATCATCCTTGAAGGGGGTGAAAAGGGTATGGAAATTTGTATGGGAAACCAATTTTTCCACGCAGACGAAGTCGCGGGTATTCACTAGTAATTCATAAGTCATATCATAAGAAAAATTATAAATTACAGAATTCCTCGATTACTCACACGTGCGGCCCTTATTGTAATCAATAGAGTTTCAGGAACGCCAATTTAAAATCATGCAGCTGATATAGTTGCAAGTTCTACGTTTATTGGAAAGGGATTCAATTTTCCAATTTCAATATTATATCGAAGCGCTAAATTACAAGTACTTACTTATATCTCATCTCAAATATTTTAGTGTACTAGCATGACGTGACATACATACTAAATGGTTATAAATTTGTTAGGTCTCAAACAGATTTCCAGTTATTGGGGATGACACGATAAGCTCAAATCTATCGCTTTATTGGGTACATATATAGCGAGAAATAGGTAATACAGAAGGTTATCTTAGTTAGATAACTTATCTATATCGCTCGAGCAACGCACACATGTCATAGGCACCGCTCACGGACATGATTTATTTATTTATTATAATATTATTTCCGACCACTTGGGACCAGTGCGAGTGCGAATTCCATATGCTGGAGACAAGCATCAGAGAACGTTTTTACTCAAATATGGGGTAACAAAAAATACTTATTATAACTGTCCGTATACGATTGTTTGAATTCAACATTAATTTGTAGGAACCTAACGTAACAATTACATTAAAATTCAAATACTTTAATCATTATTGGTTTATATTTCCATTCTTCCTGTTTTATTCTCGACAAAAATGAAACAACAAGATACGTACGGATGCCACTACTAAATTTTTTTTGTGCACAAGCTAAAGTTGACAATCCTAGAGCGACCTCCAAGCGTGTGTGAAGTGAAGTATATGCATGAGATAACCTTCTGTACTGTGTATTTTGTGTATATAGCGATGGCTGTATACTTAAGGCTCTTCTTTATGGAGTATATAATTTAGCAAGGTTAAAAGTATTTTGGAAGGTTCAAGAGACCTTGTCGTTTTCTTTGATAACTACTTAAGTTGAAGGACGTGATATTTTGAAAGTATATATTCATATTCACTTTGAAGACGGACGGTCGGCTTATAGTTCCTTTTTATCTTGCCAGCCACCACTGGGGTGGTAATGAAGAGAAATAAAACAGACTCGTAAAAAACCATTCGTACGTATAATTTAGAAATAAATATAACAAGCGAATTTGGATTATATTTCAGGATATTATAATCAAGAGAAAAACATTAGTACAAAGTATCGGAATGTCTCAAATATCTTAATAAAGATATGTCAATACTTAATGTTGTTACAGGCTTTTTTTTGTTATAGTTACTTTCACGACCTAAGTTAATGAAAGGAGACTTTTTTTTTCTATAACACTATCTCAAAATAATCAAGTATTTGCACCTTCGTGTCGCCGCACACGGGCCACACGCCACAGGCACTAACGCCGCCACGAGAAGCTAGAAGCGGCTACTAAAGTGGCTTAAGGGACTAAGGTAAGGGAGAGACAGGTGGGGAATCGCGCGAGTGACGTGTGGCGGCGTATTGTATCGGCGTATTAAGTGGCCGGTGCGGGCCACAAGAAGGGAGCAACGACGATTTGTAGCGTGTGGCGGCCACCGGCGTACCGTGTGTGGCGAGTACCTAAAAAATGTATGAAAACTACAAGAAATATGCCGGTGGCGGCGTTTTGTGGTTGTGGTCGGTAGCCCGTGTGCGGTGACACTAAGTCATGGATGTTTATATGTTTTTTAAATAAAATATACTCGTCACGCTAATGTTCCATAACACAAGCTACAGTCTTACTTTGGGACTAGGCTAATTTGTGTAGAAATATTGATTTATCTTAAATTAAAGAAACAACTGATCTTACTAACGAGCTTTCGAGTTGTGAGTTTTTCGGGTCGCTTTAGTTACTCTAACTAGACCGCAGTGTTACCAGATGAGAAAACTGATATTAAAGTGTTGGTTGCAAAAACAAACAGTGTTTGAGACAAAATTACAGTAAAAGTAAAAAAATACAGTGAATTTTACAGCAGATATCTGAAAACTTTCCTTGTGTAAATTTAATGAAAATACACTTTCTAGTTCACTAACCAACCACTTATTAATCACTGTCACTATCATTTAGTCCGATAGCCGTTTCTTTTTTCTAGATCCCCGAATGAAATTATTTTATCATTTTCTCAGTTGGTTTAAAATTAATGCAACTTGTACTTAAAACACTATTGACACAATTTTAATACTACGTACTCTACGAAGTGATTCCTAGTCTACGTCCGGGGAATTCCCACATAGTATATCACGCCACTATTCATGCCCGTTTAAAATAAAATATTTTCGTTCTTATTTCAATGGTAATAAGGGTTGTGACATAAGCAGAGAGGTGGCGCGGGACGGGGGTTGTCTTTTGACAAGTTCGTAATATTACAGTGTATGATGTATTGTAGTGTATGATCGTGTGAAAATACAGTAGATCTGCAGTGTATCTGGCAAGGCTGCTAGAATGTAAAAATCAACGAAAAACTATCGAGTTATACCATATAAATAAATAAAATAAATAAATAATAAATATTTCCAACACTCACACCAATTAGCCTAGCCCCAAAGTAAGCACTATAAGGCTTGTGTTATAGGATACTAGGGTAACGGATAGAATACATAAACTGTACATATATAAGTATATTATTATAGAAATACATATTAAACATCCATGACTGGAGTACAAATGCTCGTATTCATCACACAAACATCTGCCCCCACCGGGATTTGAACCCGGGACCTCTCGAGTCGGCGACACCATGAATCCCGGCGTACAAACCACTCGGCCACGGAGGTCGTCTATATCCATATGTGACTACGGACCCTAATAATTCACATATCCATATGTGTTATCTTTACCAGCCAGAGAAGAATGAGTGCGTCAAATGAATAGAAAGAGATGGATTATTCGATATTATTTAATGTTTTCGAATGGGAGATTTACAGCCACAACCTATCAACGAACAGGACATCCGTATTTTTTTATACATGGCGAAATTGTGTGTCAATTATAATGAACTAGCGACCGCCCAAGACTTCGTCCGCTTTAACTTTAGGAATAATTACGAGAATTCCACATAAACCTTTTTTTTTGGGTTAAAAGTATCCTATGTCCTTATCCAGGTAGTAAACTATATGTGGGCCAAATTTCATCCAAATCCGTTCTTACGTTTTTGTCTGATTGAGTAACAAGCATATAAACATACAAAGACACACATATAAAAAGGTACAATAGGGTATTTGACAGTATTAAAAATAAAGTGTCAATTGTTAGCATCTGTGTTAAGAATGAATATTAGCAGGGCTTTTTACTATTTTTACAAAAAAAATATTCATACATTACTAAAAACCCACGAAAAAGATAATAGTTTTCTTATCTATTGTCATGTGACCTAAAACGCTTGGGATTGGCGAAGCCTAAAATGACGTCACACGCAAGTAAACTTTCAGTTAAAGTGACATTACATTGTATCGTTTGACGTTTTAATAACAGTCGTGTGACATCACACACTAGTAAGACGCCATATTGTCCAGAGAAACGTTTTCGCGGCAACTTGTAAATGGACTTTTTGATTTGGTTATTTTTACTGAAATACACAACAGAATGATGAATATCCAATATCCTTTTTACGGACTCCATAAACATTATTCAATAACGTGAGATCGTTTTCTAAAACTTGTCAAATACCCTATTATTATTTTAGTTAGGATTCATGTAAGTGCAATTTGTTTCATACCTTGAAAACTAAAATTCTGCGTGGTCGGTAAGTATGTATTTGGAGAGTAGAGCCGGAATTGGTTGGCCTGTATCCTTTGACACACTTGAATGTTCGTGGTTGCTGATATTGATTCCGGATACATCTTAAATCATAATTCATAATTAAACTATCGCAACTTATTCACGAATAGTATAATATATATTCATCTTTACCTAAGTTTTTACAGCGAGTTTAGATTATATCTACTCTTAGCACGAACCAATATCGAAATCGAATAGTTTGCGAGTCAAATGTGTACTGATTTTTAGTTATCGTTACGTCCGTTATGGCGTTGCCTTTCAAGTTTACATACAAAATTTGACAATGCCATTTCGCGCTCGCAAACTATTCGAATTCGATAATGGTTCGTACTAAGAGTACAGTAACACTGTACGTCATGCTGTCGGTTGCCTTTTCGATTGCGCGACCGTCATGAAACAAATTTTACTAGTCGGTAAAAATAATACAGCACAATTTAGAATTTATTTAATACAACACAGAATTTATAGTAAGTACATACATTACTGCAACGGCATGCAAAAGAGGCATTTATGGACGAACGCTTCGCCTCGGCACACATACGTAAGTCGATCAATGCCTAGTTGTGGCCAAGATTTGTACCTATAGTTTTCTCAAATAATGAGCGGAAATTGATATAGGATTCCTTAAGAAAATCAATGACGAAAAACGATAATTTTTCCCGCGTTAGTGTTTAGTGGTTTTTTTTTTCATTAAACAGCTTTCTATTCGCATTCGTGTTCGGAATTTAAATAGAACCTTATATAAGTTATCTCCTTGGTGGCCATGTTTCGGAGTAAAAGATTGTTCCAATTTTAAATTACACAGCCCATTACAAATAAATCTACGTTTACAACTTTTTCCGGCCACTGCTCGCATGTATTTGGCCAGTACAGCAATTTCGATTTATCTTGAAGAAGGTTTTTATGATAATGCTCACCTAGTACGTTTGAAAAAAATTATAATAAAATATACACAGTCAGGTCATAAGTATTGTCACACAGTAAAAACTTTTCTTTTAGAATACTGGCCACAAAAAAGTTTATTGAATTCGAATTTCGAATTGTTCATGAAAATAAAAATGTATACTTTTTAGAATTTTACTCATTTTTAAATATGGAGTGGACGCTTAAAGAAAACCGTGTTGCAGTTATTGCGTTGCATCGTTGCGGTTACGCGTCAATTCAAATTTTTGACATACTGAAAAATTTTAATATAACCAAAAGATTCGTTTATCGTACCATCAAACGATACAATGAAGACTCTAGTGTAGATGACAGGTCAAGAAGTGGTCGCCCTCGGTCTGTTAGGACTCCAGCAGTGATAAAAGCTGTGAAGGCGCGAATTCAAAGAAATCCCAAACGTAAGCAGAAACTGTCGTGAAAAGGGTGTTAAATGAAGACTTAGGGCTTCGGGCATATCGAAGAAAAACAGGACATCGTTTGAATGCTCGTCTAATGGACCTGAAACTGAAGAGATGCCGCGCTTTTTTGAAGCGGTACGCGGGAAAAAAAATACGGGAAATTCTTTTTTCGGATGAAAAAATTTTTACCGTAGAAGAGAGCTACAACAAACAAAATGATAAGGTGTACGCACACAGTAGTGAAGAAGCGAGCAACCGTGTTCCGCGTGTCCAACGAGGTCATTTTCCATCCTCGCTCATGGTATGGTTGGGAGTTTCTTATTGGGGCTTAACAGAGGTAAATGTTTGAAAGAAAGGTGTAAAACGTAAAAGTAGGTATAATCTATAGTAAATATTTGTTAAAAAAATAAGAACCTAACACAACTATGTTGCTATTATAAGTTTCTAAAAGCATACGTTATGTAATTCGACGTTCCCTAAAAGCGTACCTTATAATAAATAAACTTCTGCTCCTCGTCTTGTCCAGTGCCAAAAAGCCTCAATCGATACATTTTATCTAAACCATTGTAGAAATCGATTCTTGTATTACCTGTAGTGCCATCGAACCTGTAGGTAAAAATGTAATAACATTTAAATTGCAAGGAGTTGACGTGAGAGGAATTAGGTTGTTTTTTGCAGTGAAACTTCTTGAAGCACGCTTGACTTGGGGGGTAAACTGGCTAAAGTGTTACGATTTCGCGTTACGATTAGTGTCATCGGTGACTCATCGGTAAACAATGAACAATACCCGTCACAAAATACAGGAATCTAGTGCTTGGTGGGTGGGTGATAATGGGCTCAGATTGGTGGGTGATAACGGACCCAGTGCGTATTGGTGGATGATAACGAACCCAGCGCGGATTGGTGATTGACAATGGACCCAGTGCGGATTAGTGGGTGATAACGGACCCAGCGCGGATTGGTGAGTGATAACTAGGGTTGCCAACCCTACTACTATATACCATAATATCCTACTATATAAGGGGATCAAATACTATATTTCTTAAAAAAATATAAAGTAGGCAAACGTACTATATTTTACAAAAAGCATATTTTTGACGGTAAAAGCTTTCTTAAAAATTAGTAGAAATTGTTATTATATTATTAGTAAGGCAAGGAGCAGCATAAATATATTTATTTCAAAAATAAAGTAAATATTTTAACCACATACTATATTTTTCCCCCTTTTTTTTGCCAGCTACTATATTTTTAGAAGTAACGCTTTGAAAATACTATTTTTGATAGAAAAAAAGTTGGTAACCCTAATGATAACGGACCCAGTGCGGATTGGTGGGTGATAACGGACCCAACGCGGATTGGTGGGTGATAATGGACCCAGTGCGGATTGGTGGTTTTTTTTTCTATCAACAAATCTTTAAGTTAAGTTTATGATTTTCAGATCATTGAAGCTAAAGAAGTTTCACTTCAGTCGTGTGGGCATAAGCACACTCGCTTTTCTGTATCATCGTTCATTCTAGACTTGGCGACCATACTTAGCTATTCGTATTTGGTTTGTACGCCGGGTTTCAGACGACCTCCGTGGTCGAGTGGTTTGTACGCCGGGTTTCATGGTGTCACCGACTCGAGAGGTCCCGGGTTCTAATCCCGGTAGGGGCAGATGTTTGTGTGATGAATACGAGCGTTTCAACTCCAGTCATGGATGTTTAATATGTATTTCTATATAAATATACTGATATATGTACTGTATATGAATTCTATCCGTTACCCTAGTATCAAATAACACAAGCCTTACAATGCTTTCTTTGGGGCTAGGCTAATTGGTGTGAGTGTTGGACATATTTATTATTTATTTATTCGTTAGCTGCTACCGATTTGTTATATGTAAGTAATTGCATATGTCAACGCAATCTACATCGTCCTTTTTGTTGTTAGCTACAATTTGTAAACGTTATTTGTGGTGGAGACCTGGTAACCTATACTACATGTCTTTTATAACCTATCACAGGTACCAGCGATCTACAACCAGATATACAATATAAGTTAGATTATCTACATTTATATTTACTGTTGATATTTATTTGGCCTGTGGAGAGAAATAAATTATTATTATTTTCATTATTATTATTGAAGTAATAAAATTTGTGTCTGTATTTTGATGTATATTTAATCTATCATTATCAGCCTATTTCATAAATATACTAGCTGACCCAGCGAACTTCGTACCGCCATAAAAATAGGGACAGGTGGTAGAAAAGAAAATTTAGGGTTGTATGTATTTTTCATATGTACCAAATTATAAAAAAAAATATTGTCCAAAAAAAATTTTAAGTGGTGTGTAACGTAGTGTTCTATTAATTTCCTGGGATTACATTCCTCCTAACCCATATGAGAACACTACGTTACAATACCCAATAGTTTGAATTTTGGCTCGAAGGCGCATTGTAGGTTTCAGAACACTACATTACAGGTGGACAACCATTATCACTGAAGGATATGAAAAATAGATCGTAGCCGATTCTCAGACCCACGGAATATGCATACAAAATTTCATAAAAATCAGTCAGGCCGTTTCGGAGGAGTATGGTAACTAACATTGTGACACGAGAATTTTATATATAAGATTTATATACTATTAATTATTTTTAAGTATTTAATGCATCATTGGTTAAGTATTATCTTCTTCATTGCAATGGCCGTTTCCGCAACTCTAAGTCCGTATGGAATGCTTGTTTTGCGTGTGGAGAGAATGTTGCCGGAACCACTCCAGCCAGGCCAGCTCCGCCAGGAACGCTCCCAGGGCCTTCACATCGGTATTTGTCTCTTAGTAGTTTCCCAATGAGCAGGGTATTATTGCAACAGATAAAGCCTGTAAGGCTCTTACGGCCATAGGCGTCCCCCCACGGGTGTCTTTTAGTCAGTAAGATTCTGGCATAACCCTGCAGCCGGCTGTAAGGTATCCATGAGGATTTCACACCCGCGTCGGAGGAAACAAAAGAGAAAGAGAATTATTTCGTTCAGAGATTAATATTATATGTCAGTCCTTACCAAACTTCATAAGGCTCCAAAATATCTGAATCTGGCACAGACAGTATAGCTTCATAGCTATAACTGCTACTCCACTTCAGAGCCGCGTCTAAAATCATAGCATAAATAACACTAGATAATAGGGATGATGACTAATTTGTTTTCCTTCGTTTATCAGGTAGATTATCAAAAAGTATTGGACACGTATTTTTTCTTTTTTCACATAATATAAATATTGCAGAGATATATTGATTTGAAAAGTCGCATGACGTCACGTTTTGGTACAATGTCACTTAAAAGTAACGTCACGAACCCCAACTTCCAAACTTTGACATTTTTTGGTTGATTGCCCAAAGAAAAAATACGTGTCGATTATTTTTTGATCATCTAATTGACGGACTTAATAGAATTTCGTTTACTGTACCCCGTCATCACCCCTATTATTACCACAGTAATAAGAGATCCTTACTTGTAAAATTCATTTTAGTTTTAATGTCCCGTGAAATGTTTATAAAAACTGCAGGAAGTCGTAATTTTATTAAAGAATAAAATAAGTATAAATTACTACAACTTTTGACATAAACTATTTTTAAGAATGTATGCAAAGAAAAATTTGTTGATTAATTTTAACCTACCTAAAATAATACTAGAACGTATGGAAAGAAACAGACTTACCATTAAATTTAGCAGCGCCTAACAAAATCAAAATAACGAACTTCATTGTAACAAAACTACAATAGTTATGCACACCACACAACGCAGTGTTGTTGGGCAATGCCCATTAGTTTGTTTTCGTTAATGAGTGCATTCTGAATTGGACCAGTGATTAGGATCCAGATAAAAAGTTAATAATCAAAATCCAGCATTTTCCTCTTTCGTAGAATTACATAATTACATTATACAGCCACACTGACCTTTTAGCTGAATTAAATTTATCGTCAAATACGTAAACTTAAAATATGTACATAGGCTGCGTGGACTTTTTTACAGAACTTTTAAAGGGGAAGAATTCCGTCAGACTTGATATTTGTGTAACTTTAACCGTTTACCCAGCGCAAGTAACGGAATCTCACAAATGGAATATTTTAACCCGTTTTTGCAACTTTTTTATCGATGTTCCGCTGTTACTGGTCGTAGCGTGGTTATATATAGCCTTATAGCCTTCTTCGATAAATGCACTATCCAATACAAAAATATTTTTTCAAATCGGAACAGCAGATCAATTTTGCATTCGGTACAACGGGTCCTAAACTACAAATAAATATAAATAATAAAAGCCCTTGAACAAAAACTATAGCCTACACTACAGCTCTACACCGAAACAAAGCGAGGGCGGGCCACTAGTTTCCAATAAAGGTTAAATAAAAATAAGATGACTGGTGGTGTGACATTAAAGGATAGAGATCCTTCAATATCACACCATCAGCCCATCTTAGCATTCTCATTTCTGTGCTATGCATAATATGCATATTGCATACGGACCGGCCAGCATTCTGCACCGTACCGAAGCGCGGGTAGAATAGTACCCTTAGCACGAATCAAAATCGAATTAGAACAGTTTGCGAGTGCGAAATGTCATTGTCAAATGTGCACTGATTTTTAGTTCTCGTTACGTCCAATATAGCGCTGCTGTTCAAGATTCCATAAAAAATCTGACAATGACATTTCGGACTCGCAAACTATTAGAATTCGATACCGGTTCGTGCTAAGGTTACAGTACCCCTTAGCACGAACCAAAATCGAATTCGTATCGTTTGCGAGTCCGAAATTTCATTGTCAAATTTTGTATGGAAACTTGAACAGCAGCGGCACAAAGTACGTAACGAGAACTAAAAATTAGTACAGATTTGACAATGACATTTCGGACTCGCAAACGATACGAATTCGATTTTGGTTCGTGCTAAGGGTACTGCTCGCTTTTAGACGTTGCCTTTTATTCGGACCGGCATCTGCAGATGGCACAGCACCCCAGTCAACGATATCCACTTTAAGCTTAACCAACCTGGATTCTATTCTCTATGTCTTATTTAAACTTGAGTCGCTAGTAATTACCGAACCCAGGTTTTTAAAACTGTTGATTTTATTTATAGGGATATTTCTCAATTGAAGGTGGAGGACCAAGGAAGGAAACTATAAAGTTACATTATTTTTAGTCCATTTTTGTAGAAATGTTAAATTGCTGAATTACTTACAACAGCATTTAAAATTAAAATCTGTATATTATACATAATATTCAAAATACTATATGAAAAAAAATGTGTCAGTCAAATTAGGTTGCAATTAATTGTTAGGTTTAGGAAGGTACATTGTTAAATAAAACTAGTTTTAACGGGTTAATGCACGAACTTTATTGGTCTGCATCGTCTGAATAAAATAACCTGAAAAGCCTGCGAAACGTCAATAAATAATGAAAAGTTGTGCATTAACCCGTTAACGTTAAAACTAGTTTTATTTAATGAGTGATGTGCGTGAAAACCTAAGAAACAAATAGGTACATTGTTACTCAAAAAATATATAAATATCAAATTCAATGAGGAGCTCGATTACGCAAGTGGTTAGCGTGTTCGGCTGCGATTGTTGAAGTTAAGCAACTTTCGCAGTGGTCGGTCATTGGATGGGTGACCAAAAATTTATTAGCTCGATCTCCTCCGTCCTTCGAAAGGCGCGTTAAGCCGCTGGTCCCGGCTGCAACTGCAGTCGTTTGCACCCACAAATCTGCACTAGGCCCGCGTGGTGGGTCACGGCCCAAATTCCCTATTCCATCCATAGGCAAGGCCTGTGCCCCAGCAGTGGGGACATTAATAGGGTGATGATGATGATTCATTCAACAAAGACATTATTTTCGTTTCACGTTACGCGCTTTCTAGGCAGAACTGAAAACCAGTGCTTTGCTCTCAGAGCAAAGGTATCGCTGAGTTTTTGCCTTTTTCTGTCGTTGCGGCACACAGTTACATACGAGTACCTTATTAATTGTTCTATTTGTTTACTTCAATTTGTGTGCTGTACTGATGGAAATAAATGATTTATCTATCTATCTATTTTTCTAAAACCAAAGCTACACAGCTACATATTTTGTCAAAAACAAGAATATACGTTTACTCTCTGGTTTCCAAGAGCTTTTTAGTAGTTTCACGTTTCCCGTGAAAGCGACTGCAGAGCTACCATTAAAATTTATTAATATTAATGTTTCGACTGCTACTGCAATGGGCTGATGCCGCTGAAATTAAATTTCTCGTATAATTTATATCTGCTTTATATTATGGTGAGAATTAATTGAACACTATATAACCAGATACATTTGTCATGACTGCCATTATTTTATAGGAGACCAGGCGAAACGCATGTTGAAATTAATTAATGTTGTCGATACACGGCGTACCCACGAAATACAATGCGAGAAGCATCTTGAGTTTTCAAGAATTCCTTGCGCATAAATTGTGCGTGGTGTGGACGATATGTAGTAATTATACCTATTGCTGGCACTTCACTTGGCTACAGAGGCGGCGTAAGGCGTGGGCTACGTAGGCCACCGCCTACGGCTCGCGGTACAAGGGGCCTAGTTCCTCAAAAAGTTTTATGCATTGCTTATAAGCGTTTTTTTTGGAAAACCCATCTTCAGGTCGCCACAGAACAGGGCCTCGCGAAATCTGTCTTGCACACATCAAATTTAGGTCTTGCCCCGCCACTGCTTGGCTAGACGTATTTGCTATTTGTAAACTTGATAACAGTCTTATCCTTATCATGCTTTCACGTATCACTTACATGTATCACGATGTCAACTCTCCGAGGACTGGAGATGGCTCGCGGGTCGTTATTTACACATCCTTGTGCTAGAGAATAACTTGACGATAAAAACTGTAATCAGACGGTAAAATCTGTGACGGTACAAACTGCGGTAAAACTTCGTCACGCAGGAGTGGGATAGGCAAAGCCACATCTCAGCGGATCCACACTTGTCATTGCTTGATTTATAGTTTACAGTAACCAATAGGCTAGTTGACCCTCTTTGGAAAAAAGGTTTTAAATGCTTAATAAATGTTCTATTAGACCGAAAAAAAATGTATTGTATTTTTCTGAGACCTAGAAAGTTGCAAATCTTTAATTTTAAAATAGACTTTTCATGGACATACAAAAACGCTGTCGGCCATTTTAGTCTATAGAAAAATATAGTAATTATCATTATTGTATTGTACGAGAATGTAAAAACACATCCTTGAAGACTCCAGGAAAGTTGTGGATAAAAGTGCCGAAAGAATAACTTACGCATACCTGGTTAGAACTTGCTAAAAGGGATCCTGCAACTTTATCGACCCATAGTAAAATTTATTTTTGCGAAGATCACTTTGATGTAAGTACTCATTGAAAAATATTTTAAGTTTCTTCATTTATTATCAGTTTTAATAATACAAGTTTTAAGGTTATGTATGAATGACATTTAGTTGCTTACTACCAAAGAGACGTCACAGTCATTGCGGATGTCACGAACAGCGTTTTTAGTATTTAAAAAGTATAGATTAAAAAATATTTTTTAAAATTAAATTTCTACACCAATCTTCTGCTTTTTTGAAGATATATTTAGGTTCCTTAGACTAAATACTTTAAGAAATAAACATTTATTTAATACAATTCGACATGAGTCAACTAGCCTATTAGTGACTGATTCCTAATCTATTCGTCGGACATCGGTTAATCGGCTTGGTAAACTAAGCATCTATTTACATATTCTACCAGTCCATCATAATCCTTAGAGAATCGTCTTCCTTTATTTATAAAAATACATTCTATATATCTAATAGGACAATTTGATACCATTAACGAACCCGGGGAGCTCAAACCTAGTCAGCGTCCATCAAAAGGTCCACTAATTTCAATAGCTCACTTACATTAACGATGTATAATTTGTATATTAATGTCATATAGTTCGTTGCCCCCGCCATGTTGTTCAATCAACCGACTTGAGATGGATTGATGGGCTGGCGATATTAGATTCCTGGAATATTGAATTGCTCAGATCAGTGACCCAGTTTGTCTGAACACGATCGTCTATTATAGCACAACTAATTACAGATGACTTTGCAATGTCGCGTTCATCATAATCTACATATCCACCGTACGACGCCTATTGCTAAACACAGACCTCCCCCAAGGATCTCCACACCGAACGTGAAAAAAGCAACTTGAGTCTTGCGTGTTTCACGTTAATATGTGAAAATCGCAAGATCGGTCGGTGTAGAGAGAAACCTAATGGTTCCCCACAACCTTCACCAGATTGTCGGTCTACTATGTGGAGGGCCTACCCACTGAGCGTCATCCAGGGCACGATCACCACTCAAAAACCTTTCCATCCCCAATAGCCATCGTTTCCCGCTCACTAACCTTCATGAGGCCCGTAGCAAACGACCACGTTTGGCCTCTGTAGGTCATCTCTGGCAAAATACACTTAAAAAAAAACTTCTTCTGTCTCTAAAACACTGAACTAGTTTATTAATATTGTTCGTAATTTCTGGGATAATAAACAAGTTTATTATACATATATTTATTTAAATTCATAAAGTTTTATTAAAGTCACTTATCCTGTCACGATCCTCCAAATCATTTTATGCAAGCTTTACTTGCATATTCGTCTAAGGACAGTTATCCGCGGATTACTAGAGTACCCTGATAGACTGCGCTCGTAATGTGAAAGTAAGAAAAAGAGTCGATCTGAAGACAGTATCGGTGACAATGGCATACTCCTTTAGTTCAGCCATAATTTGAAAAATGTAATATATGTCTATATATATATCTCCTATACACTAGATCGATGGATGGCGCCATCGATCACGCCTTTCCTTTAGAGGAAAAGGGAAATTAGGCCACCCCAATCTCCCTTTTCCTCAAAAGGGAAGACGTGTATTCCAGCAGTGACACTCACCAATCTGCATCAGGCTCTCATAGCATATCATATCATAGCATAGCATCTTATATCATAGCAGCGGGGGAATTAATAGTGATAG